AATCAAACGAATCTGGTATACCGTGTAAACTGGCCGCTGCTCTCCCTGGAGAAGGAGAGCAGCGGCAAACCCTATCTCTCTATCTCGCCTCTGCGCCTCTAAAGCCTCTTTTCGATTGTTAGGGTTCCCGTAAGTTAGCCTCCTTTTATAGGAGAAGTTGGCTAACTTACGGGTTACAAGGAAGCCCCCGGGCTGATAAACATTTGTGGCCCGTATTACACATTTAATTGATAACTACACAAATACAAAGATAACTAACTAGATTGAACACCATAAAATATTCCCAACAATAACGCACAATTGTGAAGGTGTCAAGGTTTCCTTTGTTCTTTGTGGCGTGTATTCTCCAGGGGCAAATACATTCTTTCTTCCTTTTGCATTGTGCCACCCATTTGTGTTTATCGGACTCTATCACCCGAAAAAATTGGTTCCGTTTGATAGAATACAAGCTCACCATATTGATGACTTGTTCTTTGTTGTCAAACTGTTGACCGACCTCAAACTCACCTTCAAGGGTAAACCTTTTCTCACCTGATCCACTTAGCCACGCATCAGTAAAGCCTTCAGGGAAATCATACATTCTGGTAAAGTGGGTAGACAGGACAGTTGCCGTGACCGTATCACCATCATCTTCATCAGATTCTGTCATATCTTCACCATTGATGTTGTCGTCAGCATCATCATCACTTCCCTGCCCATCCACAAATGATGCACCGTTGTGAAAATACCTACCATCTTCCTGTATAACCATGTCCAGTACAGGAGCATTTGAGGAGTTCCTAGCATTCACACCTGCATTGATATAATGCCTAGATACAACAACATTTGATGTTGATGGAGTACCATAAGCGTCACATATGGATTCCTCAATGTATATCTCAAGCATTGACATGTCCTTCACTTGAACTATGCCCCACATATTTGTTATAGCTAGCTCATCAGTGAGGGACATAAGCATGTACTTTCCCCTGTTCATGGGAAATTTCATTTTCAAACACAAAGAACGGCTAGGATGAATCATTGTGGCTGCATGTATTTTTTGAAGGATCTCGAGCATGCAAGCACCACGACAAACCATGACAAATGTGGTTGTACCACCTTCATGGCATATTTGCCCAACATCTCATAATAGTTCCCTCCCCAATGACACACGATTGGGAAGCTTGAGGAATCCATATTCTAATAACAATTCAAATATATCCAAAAGTCAAGATTTACAAACAACTCACATTTCAATATGAAAACACCCAAATTTTAACATCAATTTTAAATCAAATTTCAACATTTCATACATATCCACATTTCACAACAACTCAATTCACAATCAATTCATAGTCTAAAAATTCGAAAATTTTAACATTCAAAACCCTAAGTTAAAAATGAGATGAAATGGAGTTTGATTTACCTACAAGAAAGAAGAAAGAGTGTTGAAGATGAAGATGGAGGTTTGCAGGAGTGGGGTCGCCGGATATGGAAGTTCGCCGGAGTTGGAAATGGCTCGGCCGTCGTTCATCGTTCGTCCTTCGTAGCTGCTGCTTGGGGGATTTGGGGATTGGGTTTCGTTCTCAGTGTTCTGTTTTGTGGTTGGCCGCTGTTTTTACTTGATGGAAAGTCGCCCAACGGTTGGGCAACTTATAAGTCGCCAAACCGTTTGGCGACTTACCCCCGACCATGGTTAACCCAACAGTATATTGGTAAATACTTTTAACCCAACCCTATTTTCGTAATTAATTAATTAATTAACATTAATTCGGAAAAAAACTCAGTTATTTTACTACTTTAGTCGCTTTTTATATTTATTATTTGTTTGTGATTGTATTGGTTGTTTGAGTTCACAATAAGGACATAGTATTCCGCTGATTATGTTGTTACTTGTTCATAGTAAATTACAAATATTACTACGTACTTTTTACTTATTGTGCATTACTAGTAGAATATTATTTTGAGGTTGAACTACCTCATATTGGATGTGTACCTTGAAGTTATTAAACTTTTTTGCTTGATAGTTGATGCATATTTAAAACCTTTATGTTGTTGTTATGTTTAAATTTAATGTTTGCACTTGGATATTTTTGTGATATTTGAAAATTGGAATATCATGTATGTATAATGTAATGGTCATAATTTTATCATTAAAATTTTAATTTTTTATGTAACTGAACGTAAAATGTATTCATTTTAGGAGGATAATAAATTTTTATTAGGAACCGAAAAAATGTAAGAACCGAACCGAATTTAACAACTACATTTTTAACTAGAATCGAACCGAATTTAGCGCCTATAATTTTTAATATGGTACCATCAAATTTTAACAAGAACCGAACCGATCTCAGGCCTATTGTGGAGTACTACTCTTCTCTTTTGGTAAAATCTAAATGGAGCTCCTATTTACTAAGCATAGTCCCTGATTAAAATTAAATAAATAAATTGAAATAAAATAACTATTATATACCTCTTGTTTATCTTAACATCATTCGCAATCACATTTGTTTCCCAAGAGCTTTTAAATGTGGACGATGATGTGATTGCTTTCAAGCATGTTGACTTCGGCATTGTTTGCCGTGAGATTATGAAAAGCTTGATGTTCTTCTTAATGATTTTCGCCACATCATCCGTTGGTACGCCCACCTGCTGAATTTTGACAATTGGTTGTTGGATGTTACCTGTTGGAAGATTGTGTTGATTGATTGATAATGACAGATTTTGTTGGTTGTTTTGATTAGTTGATCATATTAGCACATTGTAAAATCGTGTTTGGCTAATAACTTGTTAAATGTCTATTGAGGACTTCAATTATTATTGTGTTGATTGATTGATAATGACAATTTACAATTAGCAAATAACTTGTTAAATGACTCTTGAGGACTTCAATTATTATTTTTAATACAATGAGTACAATTACTCAAACAATTTCAAAGATTTAAAAACGTAAAATCTTATAACACGTGTAATAATTACCCAATATTTTAAATATTGATTTTCATGAAATAAAAATTTTATATTGTTGATATTTTGATTAATAATTGGAATTATAAATAAAAATATACCAAAAGAGTTGTATAATCAAAATGATAAATGTATTTAAATATTAATCTCTACATAATTAAAAAATACTAATGACCACTTTGAGTTCATCCTCCTAACGCAATACATACAAACTGAAAATGGAGTGTTTTTTGTGTGTTGTTAGTATCTTATATGGAGTATATAACAGAGCTTATTAAAGTATTATTACATGTTTTTTTAAATTTTAGGACCATTCGGTTCTTAATTTTTTTAACAACACCCCCGCCTGTCCCGTTAGATTTTATAAAATTAGGGCCTTAGCCTAACAATCCTTGTCCCTTTTGGGTTTTTTAAAATAAGGAACCAACCACCCCTAATACACACATACACAATGTTTATGTGCACACATACACATTCAATTTAATTTAATTAGGGAAATTTACTATTAACCCTTCTAAGATTATGTCATAATTATTAATGCAAACTTGCATTTTTCAAAAATCAATTAGTTATCCTCTGAGTTTGGATCATTCTCATTCTTTGCCCCCTCACGTTAATATTTGTTAAATTTAAATTTAATATAATTCTTAAATTCAATGAAAAATGTCTATAAAATAAATTTTTAATGTAAAACAAAAATTATTATCATAATTATAAGTCATTGTTGTTGGTCGTTATGTTTCTACTTAGCTACTCCATCGTGGAATAAATATTATTGAGAGGAATTAAGAGAAAATACTCACGAGTAAAATATAAAAATTGTCATGAATTTTTAATATTTTTATTTTAAAAAATTAAATATCATTTAATCTTATAAAAGTAATAAACTTTTTACAATCACAAAAACTTTTGTGAAGATATAATCATCACAAATTAGTAACAGAGTTAATAAAATTTTTAAATAAATTAAAATCTATGATATTTTAGGTCTTAGATTGATAGCTTTCAATTATTCAGATCATGGAATAATTGGAATAATCATCACAAATTTTGTCTTTTTGGTCCCTTATTGATACTAAACCTATCTTTTATGTCATGGAATGAAAAAAAAAATCTTGGTATTTCTTGTTTGCTATACACAAAGAAACGTCATTGTGATTAATTCAACCAAATGAATTCCAAATATGACTTTTATATTCAGAATGAAGAAGTGCCTAGAATTTTGATAACACGTTTTATAAACAATTCTTTTTATGTATCCCATGAAAATATGACTCGTGAGTCTTCCCCTTAACCACTCTCATTAATAGTTACTCCACGATCGAGTAGTTATGTAGAAAAATAAATGATCATCAACAATGACTTATAATTATTATGATAAATTGTTTTATATTTTAAAATTTAATTTTATATACAACTTTCATTGAATTTAAGAAGTATATTAAATTTGATTTAACAAATATTAACATGGGGGGGTATGCAGTGACATGTCCGGTCCTGACATTTTGGAGACCCGGGATGTATTATAAAAAAGGGCCCTCAAAATTATTAATCCTTATACAAATTTTATTATAAAAGCAAAGTTTAACACACACAAATTTTATTTCAAAAAAAAAAACAAATACACACAAATCTTATTGTAAAATCGTCTACAACACCTTCAAGGTGGGAGCACAAGAGTACATCGAATATTCGCATGCGTATAAAGATACTAGTTTAGTAACGTGAGTTGCACGTTCGTGATAATGTCCAAGACTATTGTAGGAACATTAGTTTCTCAGTTTAGGTTGAGTGAATAAATGAATAACAAGTATCACTCACCATCGTGCATCACCAACAAGCTTTACTCTTAATTTAGATATATAAAACTAATAGAAGTGAGTAAAAATAAAACGATGGAGTAACACTAAAAAATTAAAAGCATTGAACCACAAAAATATTCAGAAGTATAATGTACAGCTAACATCAAGCTCAGGTGATCAGACATTCCTCGGAAAAAGCAAAAAAAAAGAACATATACAAGATATATAAAAAAATTCTAATAAACCATGGAAGAGGTTTTTGTTCATGCGCCTAGATCACACAAGCTGAGAGTTTAGCAACTGGGTATAAATATGAGGGGGAAAAGAGGAGGATGGGAAATGAAATATCACCACCATGGAAACATCAATCACTTAAAGATCGATCATCATCTTCACGCTCTTTTATGGTCCTCTCAAGAAACTTCTTCCTGATTCCATCCAGAACAGTTTCTCTTGATTGTTCCCCGTCATGTCAATCATTCAGCACAGGATCTGACTGGCATAGAACTAAGGCCACACCTATTCATGTAACAACACATTACCATATTACCACAGAAGAAGCAATATCCGGACATCATATTCCAAGTTCTGCAAAATTTATTCTAGTGATTGAACCTTTATGTTTCCCTTGTCAACAAAACTACATTGAAGAACCATTGATGAATAGCTATTTTAATTGAAAGTATTTCAATAAGATTGCTGATCTAAAAAGAAGAATCATAAAAATGATAATAATAATGATATGATAGTGATGTAAAACATAAATAGGATTACATACTACATGATGGCACAACTATTAAAAGATAACTTAGCATCATAAAATCACAGAAAGAAAACATACTTTCAGGAGTGCATCTCCGACCAAAGCTATGTGTTCCCACATAAGTTGCCTTAACAACAGTATTTTTGTAAACCAGAATAGTTGGCAGAGTACGGTCTGGATAGTTTGGAATGCACTCTGTCGATATAATCTTCACAAACTTTGTTGCAGGGTACCTTTTAGCCAAATCTTCCAGACATTGCAAAAACATCCTGCACTCTGGGTATCTGTAATAAAAAGCTAACCAGGTTGAATGAAATTCTAAGCGTTGTTATTAGTTTCCTTATAACTCAAAGGATAGAACTGAATGACTATAATATAGCCCAATAGTTTCTTTCCTCTTTCATTTTTTGTAGCAAATGGCAGTACTTTAACTTTGAAATGCATTGACTCTCAAATTTTGTTCATTAAAGGACCTTATCTGCCATTTAATACAGGGTATTACGAAAATGCAATTTCTAGCCACAAATTCATGTCTGAGTTCTAGCCATAAGCCCATAAGGATTTAATGTAAATACAGAGTCCAAGACAAAAGTATAAACTACAAACTGCTCACCCATCTTTATAGAGCATCACCACAACCCAAATGTCTTGATGAGCTTGTGAGACTTCACGAACAAAGTCAGATCCTGAAATTGGAATAACTGAACCAAACTTTGCTGCCTTAGCTGCTTCCCTTATCTCAGTTAACCGCTTCTTCCTATCACAAAGAAATTGCAAGAAAACCTATTAGTACCATTATCTCAATTCAAATTATGGCATCAAGTTGAGTTATCTTTTGAAAGTGAATAAAGGAGATGCATTTGTTGAAATATACATAAAGTTGAAATGAATGTAAAGAAAGATCTGTATGAAAGGAACAGAATGAAGGAAACGACTCGTGCATTTTCTTATTCTACCATAACCCAATCAGAGAAAAAACAAATCTTTCATATAGAATATAAGCATCCCTCTTCTTCCAGGCAGCTTAAAGAAAAATTAAGTTAGCTGACAGGCGATCTCTCAAAATCATGAGAACCCTACCCTCTCAAGGGATTGAAAACATCAAATTAGGTTTTTATAGGAGTAATCAGGTGAAATATTCATAATGCCTAGTTAAACATTGCACTAAAATCAAATTTCAAGTGAATTTCATCTGAATCAGTTTTGCATAAATCTATTTTCTAAAGCCAGTTCTCAGCAACGGAAATTCAGCGCATAGATTCAACACTCTACCTATATTCTTTGAGAAATCGATCTTCGTCGAGATCATCTTCTTCGAGATCTTCAAGCTCTTCCTCTGTTTTCTGGTCGATCCAGGCCTTGTCTTTGGGCTTAGAGTCATCATCATCGGCAGGCGTGAAACCTGGTGGCTTGAACGGCGGCGATTTTGGCGGGAGATTTCCAAGTTTCCTCTGCATATCGTCTCATTGTGTTGAGGATCCCTCCAAATTCGTGTAAACAAAGTGGTAATCCGCCATTCCACGGTTTTCACAGTTCTCAACTCAACGAGCTTAACCGTAAACTCCGCACTACGGTGTACTTCGTATATTTTATCACAGCTTTTCCTATCCACCGGAAATGAAAGATGGATCTCAGAGCCCAGAATTGTTTTATATTATTAATAAAAGAAGTAACAACAGATAATAACAACTATTATGTAGGTTAATATAGAATCGGATATCAATGCATTATTTGAATACATAGTTTGTTATTACAAAATGAATTTTATGAAGGGAACACACAAAAAACAATTACATTGAAGTAAGCATATTCAAGACAATAATTAACAAATTAAGAGGATATGTAAATCATTCGAATAGAGAAAAGAACTCACATGAGTGCGACCAAAGAAGTGGAAAACCGTTTCAGCATCTGAAGCAAATTAGTTATAATCGGTAGGTCTACAACCATTGAGGGTCTAAAGGGGAACGAAAGAGGTGTTAGGGGAAAGAAGGTGATGTTAAAGGGCATTGGCGAGAAGGAAATAAAAGAAATGGATACTAAAGAATAACTCAGTTCTAAGGAAGTTGAAATGGGAAGTAAAGGAAGAGGAAATCAGTCACACATACACTAAGAATGAATAACTTATTGCCGTTAAAACAGAAACTTTAATAAAGTTAAAAGTACGAGAAACCATACATGGTGTACAATAACTTTGTGCATCAAGAGACACCAACACTTTTTCTATTACCGTTATACCCCTTACAATATTCACTCTTATAATATTATAGAGACTTAAATGGCGATAACCACTTCATTAATTGTTGGGTATTGATTCAATGATACCGCAATGATCTAGGAGCTATTGGTTCAATAATACTCCCATGCTTTTTTCAGCTAAAAAACTTAACAATATTGATAAACATATCATCCCTCTCAAACTCTAAAGCACACAATATTAAGCTTTTTATGAGTCACTTATATGGCAATTATCACTTTATTAACTGTTGGAGTATTGGTTCAATAATACCGCAATTATCTAAGAGTTAAATTTGGAAATCAAGTGGTTCGGGTAGCATGTGAAACACGGCTAGGTTTTGGATAGACTACTGGAAGTCTGCCCTTGGGCCAATGGGGCCGGAAGGGTCTGAGAGGACAAAGGTCTTAGCATTGGTATTCTTAGACAACTAATAAAATAATGTTTTTTCCACTTCATGTGAGCTATCTATGTTGCAAAGAAAAGTAGGAAACACAATGAAACATGAAACATGAAATGAGAAACACCATCTTTTGGAAGAATAATAAATTTGGAAAGAGTTTCCAAGATGTATTCGTAGAGTTTCTGAAATGGAAATGTACTCCTCCACATAATTTCCATGCTTCATAGGCTGTGAGCTAGAATAGAACAAGGAGATATTATAGAGTATTCAACAAATAAATCCTATGTATTATTGTTAATCTTTCAAATTTGTATCTAGTATACTATCTTATTTATCCTTCTTGAACCTTTCAATTTCATATCTACTACCCCCCATAACATCTCAAGAACCACTATTGCTTATTAATTAGGCTTCAGACATTCCTTTCAGATTAATTTTAACCATAACTAATAAGGTTGATGGCTTTTTTAACATTGGAAAACATAAAATAGAAAACATATTTGCCCTCCGGTACAAACAAAAAATCATCACCCAAGAAAACACTAACAAATCTCCCAAAAATATTACCATCAAAACTGATAGTAATGTATTTGTTAAGAACTAATATGTACAGAGATATTCCAGGTAGGAGTTTAGGCAAGGATGCACCCAACCAGACGGCCCCATTAGATTATGTTGGGCCGCGGGTATGCGGTGCCAGCAACAGCCAGCCTGCCGGTGCAATCGGACCGCGTGGCGCTTCGCTTGTGCTATAAAGGGGGAGGAGCGTGCTTCACTATCAGCAATTGCTTTTGGTGTAGCGGTAAGCGCAACGATCCACAAGTGGTATCAGAGCCAAGGTCACGGGTTCGACCCCCGGCAACAGCATGCTGCGCAGTTGTAGGCTGGCAGGTGCTGGGGGGGAGATTGTTGGGCCGCGGGTATGCGGTGCCAGCAAAAGCCAGCCTGCCGGTGCAATCGGACCGCGTGGCGCTTCGCTTGTGCTATAAAGGGGGAGGAGCGTGCTTCACTATCAGCAATTGCTTTTGGTGTAGCGGTAAGCGCAACGATCCACAGATTAAATTCAACAACCGATAAAAGACCATGTTTACTCTCACCAATGCAAATAGAAGAATCTGATATATTAAAAGAAAAGAGTTTACTTTCAATAATCAAGTCTTCTGTAAGTTCCAAATGCCTAGCCTGTCGACCAGGAATGCAATGTCAACTTTGTTATAGCCGAAATTTGAGCACCCCTTCTTCGGATTGACACACATCATCGTAGAAGGACCTTGGGCACTGTCGACCTGCAGAAGAAAAACTGCAAAATTTGCCTTCCCTAGCTAATATTTAGGGGAGAGCACGGGTCGGGTTCGGGCGGGTCAGGTCTGCGGGCATCAAACCCGTTCGGATTTTTTAATGTGATTCTTGAACCCAACCCGCGTTGTTTGGATATCGGTTTTTTCGGATATTAGAAAGTCGGATAATTTCGGATATCGGTTCGGATATCGGTTAGTTCGGTTATAGTTAAAACACATTGAAATTGCATCATTAGTTCATTAATATGAACTGTCAAAGTAAATTAGACAATCCAAGCAACTAAATTGGAAATTACAATCAACTAAATTACTTAGCAATCCAAGCATAAACTAACTAAGTATTTAAATTACAAACCCAGCACCAAAATAACCAAGTATTTAGACAGTTATCAAAAAATATAAATTAGGCCATATTGGCTATTGCAAACCCAGCAGGCCAGCACCACTGCACCATAGTTTACAAAGCATATCAAATACTGCAAAACCAAGTCTTCTCAACTTTAAGCCTGCACATATGACATATCATCAATGAATAAATGCATAATCACAAATCACAATGCACAGAGTTATTACATATTGGTTCAGATTGCTTCTTGTCATTTCAAAACTAATTGGGGGCATCCAAAGTAGATGGTGGTAGGTTTCAAGCCATCTCATTATGTAAAGATACATTGGAGGCCAAATCCAAATTACCACCAACTACTCCTAATACCAACCCAATCTTATTTCAGTATATGGTGGAAGCTTTCATCATAACCAAAACGGGGCAAATGAAGAACAGAAGAAGCAGTTAAGTTGTCAGGAAAAACAAAGGGGCAAATGAATAGCACCGGAAATTATATAGGGGTTGTGGGCAGTGGAAGACATCCAACACCAACACTTCCAACACCTATTGTTAGTCACCTTGGTAAATCATAAATGAGCAATAGAAACAATGTTGACAACATGTCAAAGCTTCCACTATTTGAGGAGACAATGAACTTGTAATAAATAAGTAAACCATTAAGTTAACTGGTGAAGGATCCACAGAAGATCCAGAAGCATTTTCAGTAGCAGCACATGTCCCATTTATTAAATCTGGAAAACATAAACACATCTTTTAAGGCATACTGAAAATAAATATACATCAAGCACATGTAAAAAATAAAATAACCTGTTTCCAGCTTCTCAAGTTCATCAATATTTTCTTCAATTGACAGAGGTTGGTTTTGTTTTCTCAACCAATCTTGACAACAAATCAAAGCTTCCACTATTTTAGGAGTCAATGAACTTCTAAAGCAATCTAAAACCCGGCCACTAGTACTGAAAGTGGATTCAGAAGCAACTGTGGAGATGGGAACAACAAGAATATCTCTAGCCATTTTTGAGAGTATAGGGAATCTTTGACTATTTAATTTCCACCATCTCAATATATCAAACTCTTTATCTTCCTCAACAATAGCCTCACTCAAATAAATTTCCAACTCAGTTTTTTTCAAGCCTAGTTGCCCACTCTCAAGTTTCTGTTTTTTTAGTTGTGCTTTGAATTTAGAGACTGGTCTTGCAGTCTCAGACTCACAGATTACTAAAGTAGCAGGAGTTGAGTTTGATTCAGAGCTTCCACCAACACTATCTGTGTAATTACTCACATAATCTGAAAATAACTCAGCCAGAGCAAGTTTGATATTTTCAAAAAAGTTCTCACCCTTTTTTTGAGTATACAAAGCATTGAACTGAAAGGGCATGTATTCAAACTTGTCCCTAGGGTCTAGAACATTTGCAAAGAATATGAGATAGTTCATCTTTTCAGGATCTCCCCAATACTTATCAAGTTTGGATTTCATAGTACTTCCAATGGTACTTGTAGAAGGTCTATCTGACTTCATCAAGTCCTGAAGGACCATAAACAGATCAGACACCTCTGAGAAGAAAGTATTAGAAGTAACATAGAGAGAGCCTGAAATTCTGAGTGTCATATCATAAAAATTTTGAAGAACTGTGACCAAAAACTCACAAGAAATCCAATCCATAGTATCTGGAGTGTCAACACCCAAATCAACTGCATAACTGGTTACATTCTCCTCATAAGCTTCAAAAACCTTTTCATTACATAAAGCTGACTTAAGCATTAGGTATGTGGAATTCCACCTAGTTGGAACATCAAGGTGTAGTCCACATTTAGCTTCCACCCCAATTAAGTCAGATATGTCCTTAAACTTTTGAAGCCTAGCAGGAGAATTCCTAACATACTTAACTGCTTCCCTAACCCTAGACAGAGAAGTGTCAGCTTGTTTTAAACCATCCTGAACTGCCAAGTTTAGAATGTGGGCAATACATCTCATGTGAAGATACTGGACTTTAACAGAAGAGGCCCCCCAAGATAATAGTTTTTCCTTGAAGAAGCCTACAGCTGTATCATTACTGCTTGCATTATCAACAGTAACAGTAAAGATGTTTTTTAGCCCCCACTCTAAAAGGCAGTTCTCAAGAGCCTTAGCAATGTACTCCTCTTTGTGAGAAGTAACCTGGACAAAGGAAATGATCTTTTTCTGAAGCTTCCACTGATGGTCTATGTAATGAGCAGTAATACACATGTAGTTGATCCTCTATACAGAGGTCCATGTGTCAGTAGTAATACTTACCCTTTGTGTTGTCTCCCTAAATAGTTTTTTCAAATTCATC